TGAAAATCGATTCTGGAAACACACAATCTAAAACCTTGAACAAATTGTCATGTTGCGTGGTGATGTCTGCGGCATTGATACATTTCATAGCTATTATTAAACTTTTACCCCCACGTAGATTATAAGAAAAAATGCGGTTTATGTTTTTCCCCGGTTGGATGGAAAAGGGAATAGTCTGAAGAAAGATTTGAATGTCACCACCAGGAGACAAGCTCTGCTTGGGACAGTACCATGGAAAAGTAGAGAGGTTTAATCCCACATAATCCGTGTATACTTTACGTATGTGGTTTTCAGCCTCCCACGTACAGACACCCACCCACGTTCCGCCAGAATTTAGGTGAAAATTAGAATGGAGCGCATTATGCAAGCTGTGAGGGTGGTCAGCTGGAGAGATTTCCCAAGCACGAAATCAAAATATTCGATGAGCTTCTAAACATCTTCTTTGACCAAGTTAGAGCCTTTCGCTTCATGCTTTTGTTTGTTCTGCATGACTAAAAACAAAATTGAGAATGTGGGTCCATTGCATGAACTTTACGTGTATCACCCACGTTCCCGTAATTTTTTACGAAGTTCACAACGCGACAGTGAGGACTTGGAGCGGAGGAAAGACATGGCTTCGAGTCCATACGGCAGGATGTATAGCCTCTGGCTGAGGCGTGGGAAGGTCAGCGAGCAGAGGCGCATCCGACTGTATTATGCCCTGGTTCTGCCCGTTCTTTTGCATAACTGCGGCGCATGGGGGCTCACGGGGGCACAAGCAGAATCACCTAACGTATTCCACCGGGAGCAGCTCCGACGGCTCATTGGCATAGTCTACCCAGTCAGGATATCGAATACGAGAGGTGCAACACGGAACCACTATCTGACATCGTGGACAGGAGAAGATGGCAGCTAACCGGCCATATTCTCCGTATGGACAGGGATGCGTCGCCATGGATCGCGCGGACGGGATATTTTGCAGAAGTGCCAAGGCACGGCGTGGAGGTCCAACTACATCCATTGCGAAGCGCATCACAAGCGACTTACAGAGAAGGAACATAGACTTGATGCGCAGCAATATGCTGGAGAATGTGAGGGCAATCGCTCTGGACAACCTAAATGGAGACATCTGGCCGAAAATCCATGACCTGGCGTCACAGGTCATCAGTGCACCGTATTTATAATTATCTTGATTATCGAATTTGATCATAGGAGATAGAACAGAAGCGGAGCGTATAAGTACACCCACATACGGTAATTATATTATTACGCGTGCTGGTGTATTATTTGAAACTAGGATGTTGAGCCATAAATAAATGTAGAAAGGAAAAGAACATATGGATACGAGTTAAGAGTAACTCGCCATCACCGTAACTGGATACTATATGCAGTCAGAAAGTGCAATAACTAGGCACAAAACTGACAGAGTACTGAGACATTCGACGTCCTGACACCTAGCTTCAACACATCTCCGTAGCGCTAACCAACAGCCTTCCAACTTGGAAGGTTCAAGGTTATGGAAAGACCAAAGAGGAGAAGGCAAGCGGAACGAAAACGAGCAAAAGCTACAGTCCCAACGGAACAAAGAATGTCGATTATGCGGTCGAGTCCACCAACTAAACCGGATTGTAATCAGTCAGACGTGCACTATCTAGCACTATACTGACAATGAGTACTGATACATTCCCCGGCATGAAAGTCAACTTGAGCACTGCTTGATAGCGCAAACCAACCTCGGCATCATGGTCAAAATCACGCACCCAAAACAAAAGATAGAACTATATTGGTCAGCGAAAGGAGAAGAAATCACGGTGTGTTACTTTAACGTCAATTGCCTATCCATGTCCATTATCCTGTGTGCATTTGTCAACAACTTAGATAGGGACCTGTGCCAAGATCCGACGTACTGCGCAATGGACAACTATCCGCTGGGGTCCACGGACTGCAAGAGCAGCATTACCAGGAACTTTTTTACTACCAGAGCTACTTTCAGCTGTACCTGCTCGCCAGGCGACGCGGGCGCTCCTTGCAGGGAGGTGCGAGACTGCATGGAGAGTCCAGCAACACCCGTTCCGGAGAGGGACTGCAACCCACGTCATATCACGGGTAAGTTTTTTATAGGTATCTACAAGCCTCATTAACGGGCAAAAATTAACACAACGGATTAAAATGCAATAAAACAAACACTGGAGAAGAAATCAGAAAATGCATGTGTAAAATATAGATTTTTCAAACCCAAACCAAAAAACCTTCAACATAAAATGAAGGCTTTTATCTTTGGATTTTCGCTGTAGAGTGGTTTCACGTCTATCACGTTACCATGCAGGACAGCTACAGTGCTGGCAACTGAAATCCGATCCTCTGGGCAGTGCGTTCTCTTTCTAGCGGCCTCTATTTCGTAGTGTTACAATCCCATGCCGCGTCTTTGCGATGTTAGCGCACCGCTCAGGGGGTCGGATTTCAATTGCCAGCGCTGTATGTTGTTTTATTCAGGAAAATAATTATTCCCGTAGCTATGCAGAAGACGTTACTTCAGTAACGTCTGGCGCTAGCCAGGGTCCACACAGCTTTAATTTGGTATTTGTGTGTTTGTTTGTTTGTGTGTTTGTGTCACGCCTGGAGCTATCCCGTATCTGTCCCGTATCTGTCCCGTATCTGTGACTACAAAGGCTCTACAGGATTGTACATACCAGCTGGCCACAATAGTTGCTGGCTCTCGTATCTGTCCCGTACGGTACCGAATAGGTGATAGGATGCGTGAGCAAAAACATACTTTGGAAGAGAGATCCCGTCGTCTCCAAACTAAGCGTGAACGGGCGATTCAGTGCCGGTCACAGGAAACGTCGGAAGAGAGATCCCGTCGACTCCAGAGCGCCCGTGATTGGCAGAGTCAGCGCCAGTCCCAGGAAACGTCAGGACAGACATCCCGTCGACTCCAAAATAGTAATTTTTCTCTAATTTCGTCCACTTTTGGTTTGCTCCTTCTTTTCTTTTTCAAAACTCCAATCGGCCAAAGTGTAATGACGGTGAAAAGTTTCGTTTCGAGATCGGCCGAAGTTTCTCCTCATCCAAAATTTGTTGATTTACATTCTAAGGAGATAAAAAGAAAAGAAGGAGCAAACCAAAAGTGGATGAAATTAGAGAAAAATAACAATCCGCAGTAAATTCTGCAAATACTTTTGCCTAACTCATATTCAAACTTATTGAAACGTTTTTGCAATACAATGATGTGGCCAATCAACGGAAAAACACATTTCCATCAGTTCTATTATTAGCAGGATAATGGTGAGTCAAAATTTGTAGCAATTAGCACAGAACTGCCTGATGTTATACTGATATTCAACGACCTGATGCTCAGCAGGGTCACGTCTCGAATGCGTTAACCAGCAGCCTTCCAACTTGCAAGGCTCGAACATTAGAAACACCGTAGGAAAGGGGACGGCGAGCGCACTCAAGACGAAAACAAGCTAACCTTCACAGTGAACTAAGAATGTTAGCTATGACCATATCTTAAGAATGTTAGCTATGACCATATCTTAAGAATGGTAGCTATGACCATATCTTAAGAATGTTAGCTATGACCATATCTTAAGAATGTTAGCTATGACCATATCTTAAGAATGTTAGCTATGACCATATCTTAAGAATGTTAGCTATGACCATATCTTAAGAATGTTAGCTATGACCATATCTTAAGAATGTTAGCTATGACCATATCTTAAGAATGTTAGCTATGACCATATCTTAAGAATGTTAGCTATGACCATATCTTAAGAATGTTAGCTATGACCATATCTTAAGAATGTTAGCTATGACCATATCTTAAGAATGTTAGCTATGACCATATCTTAAGAATGTTAGCTATGACCATATCTTAAGAATGTTAGCTATGACCATATCTTAAGAATGTTAGCTATGACCATATCTTAAGAATGTTAGCTATGACCATATCTTAAGAATGTTAGCTATGACCATATCTTGCTTAAAATCGTTAGTGTTTTGACAAAACTGATAACTTTTAAAATTACTTGAACTCGGTTGGTGAGCCTTTGTAGTTATGATGAAGAAAGGAAAAGGACAAAATGTTACGAGTTATGACAAACTGTCCACAACGTAACCAGATCTTATACAGTCTGCGAGTGCGACAGAATGGCACAAAATTGCTTGCCACGAGATGATGATGCAATAAATAAATAAATAAATAATTCGATTTTCTTTTCCCGTCCTTCTATGCACTGTAGTTCTTAGGATGACAATACCGCATAACAACATCATCAACGGCTCCACCATCAATGTCACTTGTTCCAGCGACATCCCATTCACAGAACAGGTCAATTGGACCGTCCTACCAGCTCATCCCATGGAGGCCTTGTCGTTCTCTGGACCAATGGGCACCACGCTCACCATCTCTCCGATCACGGCTGACGTCGACAGAGACGTAGATGTTCGCCCCGTGTCTGTGGAGTGCAGGGCTAACGTTACGGGCAGATTAGGTCCAGGACTTGGCAATGCTACGCTCCCTATTTGTAAGTACAGTCTATTCCCGACAGTGGCTGTAGCTTAAGTGTATAGTGTCCCATCCTCAGGGTCGTCACAATGCCTTTCGAGGCCAAGGGGGTGCTCCCTGCGGAAAAGTCTCAAAAATCCAATCCTACCGCCATCGCGTCCGGACATTTTATTACTCCGATTGCTATCCCCGTTTGAAATAATGGATGCCTATATTTCTCGTGTTCAAGCACCCCAAGTAGTGTAAGGTTTAAAGCTTCACTGATGTCGATTGAGTAACAGAAACGAGAATAGGTTTAGTTCAGAGTAGAGCCTGCACGCTCTCTTCCATTAACACTGCAATAGTTCAACTCATTTCACAATAATCATTCCAACGTTTCGGCAAATTGACTTCATCAGGTTCACAAGAGAATAGTTATACTGACGTTGCGTGTTGATAGCATAGCCTGACACTCCCAGTCTCAACAAACTAGCCTTGTGCCTTTCTTGTCTCGTCCACAATGTAGTTAGGCTGATATTGGGAAACGTAAATCGTCGTGTTGAGCACTCTCCCTAAGTTGCTCTAGTGTTGCTGCATTACGCATCCTTCGCTATGTGCGTCTAGGTGGCTATGAAGTCGAGACCCCAGGTCGGCGGAGCTCCCTAAACCTCACCACCACTGCCATGATTCAGGTTGTGCGTGCTTCTCCTAGCTGCATCTCATGTTTGGCATTTAAGTGGTCATTGTAAAAAATAAAAAAATATAAAAAGTTTCGTAGCTTAGTTTACCGTCATTCCATGTTGACTTTTTTCGTACGTTCCCAGTATATTGGGGTTCTTTTGGACTCCAGGAACATTTTGCGTAGCATTCTTGCAAACTCTCCATTTTATGGATTTTTTTGGCCTGTTTTACCTTCCCATACACCAATGCTTTGACCGAATTGCATTTGTTGACAGCTCTGAAGTTTGAGAAGAGTGTGTTGCTCGCTACATGGGAGCTCGCGGTTTTCCTGCCGACTTGAATTCTCACTTGACTGACTCGCGACTGACTCACGACTGCCATCCAGAGCACACGAAAAAGTCCATCGAACCGTCCGCACTAAGCTCTGAAGTTTGTCGGGATTATTTGCAAGTTTGCAAAAAAAACACTCAAAACGTTCCTGGGGTCCAAGAGGACCCCAAATATACTGGGAACTTAGGAAAAAGGTCAACATGGAGTGAGGGATTATGGTTGCAGAAGAACATTGTCTTGTAGGGCCTCTTACTTAAGTGGATGTCATCCATGTATTCGGTAACCATGGAGATACCAAAACTATCGCAATTGTTGCATTTCCCTGTGTTCTATATTACTGGGGTCCATTTGTACCCCGCCCGCATTTTCCGTTAAATCCATCATGAACCTCTAACCCAGATTATTTATTTGAGCACGAGCGGACTGTCTCAGCTGTGCATGACGTTGGCGGATGTACATGTATGTCGAGGATCAAACTTGCAAGACCATCAGACAAAACAGTCGAGCCACAATTACAGGACGCACAGCCACATAGATGGTCTACCACTAAAGATTCGATTGGACGGGAAGGTATATGAACATGAATTGTGAGGAATCGAACGCCCCAGTACTACACTACACTAGTATAGTATTTCGATCAAGACATGGTCGTCGTGTGAAACTGCTGCTTGTTACTGTTTTCTTGTTACTGTTGCTTGTTACTGCTGCTTATTTTCCATCTAAATTGTCGCTACGCACACAGAGAAAAGGAAAGAGAGGATTTGTTCAGATTTGTTTTCTTGTTACATTCATCAGTGAATCTACGTAACAATGGACTGGGGAGTACTTGAAACTAGTTGAGGAAATTTAGGAAATGCTTATAGTGCAATTAGTCGTCCTTATAGCTATACTAATTATTTTTATTCTTGCTCTTTTTTCACAGTGTACGACGTTTGTGCTGATGCTGATGTGTGTCAACGAGTATTCTTGCATCCACCAGGCTCATCCGACTGCGTTTTTCCAACGTCTGGTACTCCGTTCTGCCAGTGTCGCCAGAACTCTGCCGGTAGAGGCTGCAGGATTGTGGATGGCTGCAGGGGTAATATTAGCTTCGCTGACGCATCGCGTTCCTCCTTACTCTTCTCATCGACCCTTTCGTCAGTAAAGGCTCTGGAGTGCATATTTGGAATGGGATGCAGCCTAAACGAAACTGGTTGGTATATTGTACAGTTTTATGAATCTCTCTCCCCGAGTGAACGAACAATATGTGTTATACATATACACAGTACGTTCTACAGCAACACACGTCATTACGATGACAACACCACCAACTTTTACACCACCACCATTTACACCACCACCAACAACACCACCACCACCACCACCACCACCACCACCACCACCACCACCACCACCACCACCACCACCACCACCACCACCACCACCACCACCACCACCACCACCACCACCACCACCACCACCACCACCACCACCACCACCACCACCACCACCACCACCACCAGCAGCACCACTACAGCCATGAATTTGTCTCCAACTCTTTCGTAAACTAACATTTCAGCATGACGATTGTTTCCTCACCTCACCCTCCTTAGCGTTTTCCTATCACAGCTTATTATGCAATTATTGTTTTTGTTTTTTTAAATAATATAAGCTTTCAATGTGTTGCTTGTACACGTGTATCCAAATGTAGCTATGGGCCACTCCATGCATTTCATGTTTTATCGGTTGCGTAGACAATCAACTGTCACCATCACTCGTATTGATATTGCTCTCTCTCTCTCTCTTCCTTTCTTTGTTCTTTTTCCTGTGCAGACCTAGTGTTCCAATGTACTGAATCGACCAGTAACACTGTCGCGCCCAACCTCACTGTCGCGCCCAACCTCACTGTCGTGCCCAGCCGCACTTCGTTGCCAGCAGGAGTGTTCCAATGTAGTGGGTCGGCCAGTAACGCTGTCGTGGTCAGCTTCAGCTCGTTGCTAATAGTGATGTTTGGCATGGTGGGCAGCAGACGACTCCTCATCTAATGCGCATCTACCCCAATTTCTCACGGTGTAAAACTTGTACTCGCCTACATTTGCAACTGACGAATCCTCACATACAACAGCATCCCTTTAGATTAGGGTTAGTTTAGGAAGCATCCCCTTTGCTTTCTTTTTTAGGGAAAAATTAGAGAAAGCCAATAAATTGTGTACTAGCACTACATGTACATGTATATGTATATAACGGGGATTAATTTTGCACTACACATTGTCCAATGCCCTTGTTCTACATGTACATATACATGTACCGGTAATTGCCTCAATTCCATTGGTTCCTGGTTCGATTTTAAGCCTAAAATGACCTGGAAGTGTACCTTTACTCTTTAGTTCAACAAAAGATTACTCGATTGTACTTGGTCCACATTACAATGTCACTATTATACATAAATATGTACATGTAAAAGAGGCCTAAAAAACAAAACAAAGAAAAAACAAAAAAACAAAAAAAACAAAAACAAAAAACAAAACATGTACATGTACATGCTTGTATTCTTTTGTTTTACTGCTGTGATTGGCTTTCACCCTTGTCTCAGTTTTACTAGCCGTCATCATGATGTGCCATGAGATAATGATATAAATACAAAAATAATGCAAACTAACTACAAATACAGACCATGGTTGTTTCCTTTTCAAATACATTTGACGATAATGCAGTCACTTCAACTTTGCTTTGTGGGTATACTTGCAAGTACATTGTATAAACCAGTACCGATCCAGATTTACTCATGACTGTTTCTAATGATCGCTAAGTGCGTGAAACTCAGACTTAAAACACTTTTCCGTCCTCTTATCGTTCATTATTTTTCCTTTTCCATGTATCAAATTGGCATTGCATTTAATTGGTCAGTGCACAAACAGTAGTCATTGTTTCTTCCCAGACGAGACTATAATGACCCTTGCAGACACTAGCACTATCACTAGCAGTTCACTAGTCCACAAGCACCACTTCACGACAGCTTCACATGTAATGTAGCTTCTCCTGAAAAGCTTGTTTCGCATTACAGATACAGTGCTGGCAACTGAAATCCGACCCCTGAGCGGTGCGCTCACATCGCAAAGACCCAACACGGGATTGAAAAACTACGAACTGGAGACCGCTAGAATGTGAATGCACCGCTCAGGGGTCGGATTTCAGTGGCCAGCAGTGTACATGTACATGTACAGTGCATACCATACTGGCGTGGGGCATGTACACGTACACGCAACACACTCACACATACATCTACATGTACATTGTAAACGTACATGTACATGTATATGCATGCCGAACCACCAGAAAGGGAATCATTTGGAATGGAGCTGTTTATGAGCACTACCAGACAGATAATATTAGAAGTGCTGATAGAATCACAAGGAGAAAGGGAGCTACCCAAAGTAGGTTACATTGTGTTGTAAAACAAACATGTCACAAACAATACTGAAGACTGAAGTGTTGAGAAAGCACACTGTGTAAATACCTGTACAGTTAACTAGGTGCAAAGTGGAAGTCAGGTGAGAGACAAAAATAACTTTTGGACGGCCATCTGAAAATTATTGCAAACGGAAGATGATGCATGGTGACTCTTGATGAGGTGCTAGAAAAGGCGAGAAGATGGGGAAGGCAGGATAGTAGACACATTTCACTCGAGCAGTACAATCATGTAAGTAAGGTTCTCCTCGCGCCTGCATCCCGAGGCAAGAGATGCGTGTAGGTAGCGTGAAACTACAGCCCTCTACTTAGAAGCTGCTCAGGCCGGTCCGCTAGGCAGGGTCTTGCATGCTGGACATACCTAGATGATGACATGTACAGTGTAAGATGTGACGAAACCGGTCACATTCAAACGTTCCAAGACGAATTTTGGGATAGGCGATATGCACCAAGTGCCTCGGAATCCTACAAATGACTATCCCCCAGCTACATGTATAATATTGATTGTTATGTAGCTGTTTTCTGATGATCGCTTAGTGCGTGAAACTCTGAGTAAAAACACTTCCTCTGTCCCCCTATTGTTTGTTATGTAGCCTATTGTAGGTGATTAAGGATGCGAACAGGGGCATCGTGTAATGTAACGTCCATTATTTTTATCGTACCGTCCTGGTTCTACTGCAGATATGGGTAGTGAGCCAATGTAAAAAGCCAATGGCCTCCAGTGAGGGATGCTGTTCATTCACTGTCTGAACAATAGTATAATTATTATGTGTCTTTTCTTGAAACAAGAAAACTGTGAACTGTATCCTATATTGTAGGATTTGATAGTTTAATAGATCTGCACTGACAGAAAGGCGGGCCACACAACAAGAGAAAGCACTTGAATGATAGATACAAATTATTAGGTTTTGACGACTGTCATTGTGAAGAGGACCATCGTCAAAACGTTACCAGAGCAGCATTAATCACTGAAGGTTTGCTTCTGTGGTGTGATTGGCCTATCTATCAGTGCAGATAGGCAGACAGGGATGGCAGACCGAACGACAGAAGGACGGAAAAGCAGACAAGCATCAAGCTAGTGCTGCACATGTGCTGGGTGTTGTCGTTGGGATATCATGCTTGTGCAAAACTATTCATCTGTCTGCCTGTCGTCTGTCTGTTTGTCTGTATCTCTCTACTTTTCGGTTTTGTGATCTTCTCTATCCACAGTGGAAGTTGCTCCTCGCAGGCTCTACACTCTTGGTTCAGGCTTCGCTAGCCTAACATGCGTCAGCAGTACTGGTAGCCCTATCGACCAAGAAGTGAACTGGCAGCTCGACGACCAACCTGCCGCTGTGACCTATGAGACTAAGGGCCAGTTCAACGAGACGATCATCCTCCAAATTAATGAAAGCTTGTTACGCCACGCATTTCAGATGCTCGATCTGGTCTGCTACATTGGTGCTTCTCCACCGGAAAATACCTTTTTTCATTCTTCTACCGTCTGCATGGGTAAGATTACTGAGGCACGTGTTTTCTTAGTACTGAAGTTTTCAACCATAGCATGCTATCATTAGGCGGCAATCAGAGGTACAATGTATTGATCTCGGTTCTGGACTGTTCAGCACCCTAGCTCACTGAAGACTATGGGGAGTCCTGCGGCTGCGCGCGATGAAATTAGAAAAGGAGAAGAGATGAAAACACTAGACAATGAATTACAGAGCAATGCAATCACAGCAAGATAAAGAATGCCTACGGCTCACCCAGTGAATAACAACGTCGTGTAGAACATGAAACCGCGAAGAACGACACTATCTCTCGGTGAACTAACCATTAATTTTAACACCTTACATGTAATCACCAAAAATAAAGACAACGGGCGAGTAACAGCGTTTTTTGATGCCAAAGCGAAGGGCGATAATTTCAAGGTTATTTTTGGGGGTTATGTTTCCAATTATGCCTGAAAGAAACAGGGAATGAGATGGGTGGGAAAGTGGGAATGAAAAATGGTGAGCAATATGTTGTTGGAATTGTATCAATGCAGACAAGGCCAGATAACAACAAGTTCGAGGAATTGTAAACAAATTTATTATCCAAAACCGATTTTTGCGTTCTGCTCGGTAGTGAATAGTATCGGAACACGGGGTAAGGTTTACGAAAAGAACATAAAATAAATTTATAGAAAAGACAAAAGACTTTTTGAAAATGGTGAACGGTACTATTTGGCCAATAAAATGTAAAGAACTCTTCCTCTCCCCTCCTTCATGCGCTCTCACAGCCGACTCACTGCTACCCTCGGTAGACATTACACACACACCAACAGCCATACATGGAAGGGTTGCAGCCTAGATACTGAAATTCCTCCTGGCAGCTGTTTCGCCTTCATAAAGCTCATCAGAGAAGGTGATATTGAATAAGATGAATTAGACAAAATACCATGGAACTAAAAGTTACGCTATATTGTCCACAAATACCTCCAGTTACTAAACAATCAGAAATTTTCGTTTCTATCAATTAATCCTTGGCTCTCGATCCGAGTCCATTCAAACATTAAAAAATTACTACCTATTTTAAGCGTGAGCAAATGGAGTGCTACAACATTACATAATAGGCGTCAGACTTGGTGCCAAAGTATAATTATTATTAAAATACTAACTTAGTCCAGCCACAAAGCATGGGGTGAGACAGTGCAAAATTACACAAAGTTTACGACTGATAACCAGCTGCTACTATAACAACTTAAACGCGACTACAATATAACATGCTTCCTTTGTTTACAAAGAACGGGATTACGCAAACGAATACGTACAGCTTCCAGACCCTACAACTACTTCTACATAACTTGCAAGGCACAAAACAGAAAAGTGAGAATCATCATAACCACTAAGACAATCTGGACGCGATAACAAAAGACAAAAATCAGTCACAAAATACAGCTCACATCGTTCTCTTTCTCCTCGTCCTGCTCCTTTTTTATTTTATGAGTTCCCGGCGCGCTTGTTAAGATGAACACGAGATAAGGAGAATGTGCTGCGATCAGGATTCTAAGACAATACTTCAAGTATTATAATTATAATTTACGTTCGAATTGTGTGTTGCTCACAACGTGGGAGCTTGCGCTATTCCTGCCGCCTTGAATTATCAATTTACTCACTCACGACTGACGAGCGGACGGTTCGATGGACTTCTTGTGTGCTCTGGGTGGCAGTCATGAGTCTGTCAAGTGAGAATTCAAGTCGGCAGGAAAAGCGCAACGTGGGGAGCAACACACAATTCCCCAAGTATCGCCGAAGTCGCACAAGCCTCTTCTTTATATCATTTATGTAGATAAAAGTTTGAGAGCCAAGGTCTAAAGTGAAAAACAAAGACCAAAGGAGAGTTTTTGTTGCACATTCTGAAACACCAATGCCTTGCTTATTGATAAATTTATTAGTGTTGGACACAAACAACGGATATAAACTGGTAAACCTTTATTTAGCCTTTATTTTTTCAATTTATGTGGAGGATCGACATTTTAGCGTTATATGGGATTATGGTGGCCAGGCATTTTGCTGTGCTTTGGCTGCTCGGGTTTGGCAAAGATGTGGCGGCATGGCTG